CCGCCGCTGCACCTACACCCCCACCTTGTTGTTGTACCCCATTATCAACATCCATAATTTCTGGCTCCCCCGCCGCCGCTGCACCTACACCCCCACCTTGTTGTTGTACCCCATTATCAACATCCATAATTTCTGGCTCCCCCGCCGCCGCTGCACCCACATCCCCGCCTTGTTGTTGTACCCCATTATCAATGTCCATAATTTCTGGATCCATATCCACTGCCACGTCCCCCTCCCCGCCTTGTTGTACCCCATTATCAATGTTTATAATTTCTGGATCCACCTCCTCTGCCCCATCATCATTTAAATCATTTAATAAGTTTTGTAAGATGGAGTTAAATTCGCCCGGATTCTCACCGTTCAGCTCTGTTAGTATCTGGTGCAGTTCACAGTGCATTTCCCCATCTGCGTCCAGTCCGCTGTCACTCCTAACACCAGATCCGGTCACGTGGTCGTCAGCTATTTCCGCCTCCATAGCCACATATGCCCCTGTCTACATTATTATCCATATTAACACAGTCCATAGCTTCATCAGTACCATTCTCATTTAAATCATTTATTAAGTCGAGCATGAAGGGGTTAATTTCAGCCGGCGGTCCGTCATTCAGTTCATCAATCAGCCGCTGCAGATCAGGGTTAATTGTTGCTTCTCCATCGTCGTTTACATGCATCCTTCTAGACCCCCCAGCCCCAACAAAACTACACAGCCACCGTTTTTCAGGCATGCCCCCCTGCTTATTCTTTAGATATGGTCAGACAGATAAAAATCACACATCTGATCCTGAAAAAGGAAGAAAGCTAGTTTGAGCGCCTTCAAACGCTCCTCTCGGGAATCATCTACAGTCCGGGAAATCAAAACAGGTAATTGCCAAGGTGTTAAGGGGTCAGTATCCCAATCTTGTGGCCCCTGCGGTGATTCCGGTAAGGCACGGGGCGATGATGCTGGAACACCGCTTGTCGATTCCCCTTGGTCCGGCGCCCCGCTTTGTGTAGTGGGAGTCCCCGGTCACATAAATTCCAGTTGTCCGGTTGAGGTAGCTAGCTCTGCTTCAATTTTTTCAGCCGCAGCGACCAGCAGTTCATCATCAGTCATGTCTATTAAAGAACAGGCACTGTTAAGCATTTCATACAGAAAAATCAATGATACGGGGTAAGCAAAATAGTTCCACGTACCATTAAAACTATCCGCTCTTTTCCGCTTATGGCTAACTGTTCCTTGACGATTATCTCTGAAAATAACCATTGGCGTGCATAGCAGTTCATTGCCGCTATCTGCAAATGAGAGCATATTCACTTTCAGTCAATGCCACATTTAAACAATAAACCCAATAGAGATAAATAACTATGAACAAAAACTTACCACTATCCCATTCCTCTGTTACATGGGCCTTACTCGGACTTGACAGCGTGGGAAATTCTTGGTCAGAAGTAATCGTAATGTTTTCACAGTAGAAAAATCTATAACAGCAATTATAAAATACATTTAAATGAAAACGTAGCATAGGCCTACCTCCAGTTTAGCGTTTCCATCGCCGCTTTGGTCTTCGTTGTTGCTTCAAGCTTTCAGATGTCAGGTGTATTTCGCCCGTTCATTTGCCCCCGCTTAATAAAGGCAAACTTTGGGGGGGGACGGACGCCCTCCCCAGCTGTGGGGGGTTTACGCGCTGTGGATACATTCGTCCTCAGGGAGGCGCTAGCGGTCCGTCTTTACCATCATACGTGCTATCCCCCGTTTTTAAAAATTTGCTTTTGACACAATTTCTTGTATTACTTTGAATGACAGTTAAACTCTTTTATTCTTTAAACTTTTTATATTTTATTCCTTAATTTATTTATTACAGTGTTAGTGGACCAGCCGTGTGCTTTATTTCCTTAAACTTTTATGTATGTTTTTATATGCAATTACTATAAATAGAGTTTTATTCTTTTTGTTTTTACAACGTTAGTGTTTTGCCATTAAAGAGGCTGATACACGTGTGCTTAGAATCTTCCGCATTTCTCGTTGTCTAAAGAATAATTAAAAAATGTATAGACCAATTCATATTAATTCGAAATAACGCTATTGCAAAAAGAGCTGTTGGCCGTTTACAGTATACAACGCCCACCCCGCTGCTCGAACGATACGAATTCACCCTGCCTATATCTGTACTGTCATGCACCGATAGTAAGGGGCGTGTGGACAATAGGGGTGTGCAAAGCAGCCGGTATTTGTATCTGTATTTGTATTTGTTGAGGGGGGAAAAGTATTTGTATTTGTATTCGTATTCGAGTAAAATTCAAAATAGGCGTAAAAATCCAGTTTTTTTGCGTTGCACTTCTAATTTACGTTATAGTGTAAGTATTCTTTAATTATATCCATTATAATAATTATGGATATGCAGTAGACAGAGTAACTTAAACGTACCATATAACTCCTACAAGTGCATCCAATTCGACACAACTACACAAGCATTGTTTTAACCTTTTTAACCAAACGTTAACGTTACTCTGTCAACAGCCTATTGTCTAAATTACCGAGCTAACAGAGCTACGTAAATAGAGCGAACATGAGAGCACCCGACTGCAGACGTCAATAATGCAGCGTAATGGAATAATCTCCCGATCAAACTCCGCTTCCCGAAAGTTATAAACTGCCTCCGGAACTAAGTTAAGGTACAAAAATCTATTCAACAAAAACAGTGATACAGTTAAGTCTTTTTTCGCTCAGCCGAGCCTTCTCTGTTGCTGTGTGGAGCAGCCTGTGTCAGTCACCTCTTTTACTCCCCCCCCGACTCCTGAACTCACTCACTCACTCACTCATCCGGGCATGCACTGCGGTCTCAAGAGGAAACGCAGCTTTTTGATATAAAGTTTTTCTTGTTCCCGAATACAAATATTTTTTAAAGTATTTGTTCGAAATAAGTATTCGTAAAAAACACATTATTTGTGCCTTTCCGAATACCGTATTCGGGTTCGGCTCCACCCCTAGTGGACAATATGTTTAAGCGACACAAATTCAGTTAACTAGTTGCCTCAGCTGATTGTGGTGTGTGGGGATTGTGGCTCCCCCACCCACCCCGCTGTTCGCACGATAAGAAAAGTCCAGTTCTGCAAATCATGCCGCGCCTATAGTCCGGGGTGTGTGTGGAGGGATAATCTACCATGGTTTTGAAAATGTTGCTAAATACCACTCACTAGTTCTTACAGCTAATAAATGAATTTTAATAAAATCGGGGTATCTTATTTAAAATAAAACTAACAAAATACAAGTAAATACATCTTTTGTAAGTTATAATGTTTTATTCATTTGATTAACCAAACGTAGATCAATTTAGCTAAATGTCGCTAAACCCCCCGGTTGTGGTGTTAGAGATCGACTTTTATTTAATTTAGAAATATATTATTTATACTATTTACAAATAAGTCAGATTAACAAATAGAGTTAATACGCATTCTGTCAGGATGGTGGCGTGCTCACACAATTAAGGGCCATGGGTTAGCGATTACAATTTCAGCCGTCGCCATTTTGAACGTGCTTCGGCATATTTACGCCCCTCCCCTTCCCCCAGCGGTCGATCATTTGTCGCGCAAGTTTGAACGGAGCGGTAGCATATGGCCCAAGCTGCGGGGCTAAAATGTTTGCTGGTTAAATGTTTTCTTCAACCTAACACTGGTAAATATCGCTAAAAGTTTTTCTTCTTCTTCTTTAAACACGTTGGTTAAATGTAATGGGTTTAAAATGTTTGTGCTTGTTTCGCATTTGCTCTTTTGTGCTTGTTTCGCTCGGGTATGTCTTTAGTTTAAAAGTTAAAGTTTGGGACTTTTGTCGTTTGTGCTTAAAATATGGTGTTTTGTCTTGTCAGTGTTTCGCTCGGGCATGTCTCTACTTGTTTAAATTCTTTCTACTTTTCTTTCTTTCTTTTAAAAAGTTAAAGTTTGGGACTTGTGTCGGTTGTTTAAAATACGGTGTTTTGCTCGGGCATGTCTCTACTTGTTTAAATTCTGCCTGCTTTTCTTTCTTTCTTTTTAAATGTAACACTAAAGTTTTGCCGTAGCTTACGTTCATACTGCTATATGTTTTATTATTCCTTAAAAACGTTATTAAAAATAACACATTAATAAAATACATGTAATGTATTATTATTCTATTAAATTTTAACGACAACCCTTATCTCCCCAAAACATACGTCCCCCTATCAGCAACACGTGGCATAAGCATGTATGATACCATTGGCCAAAACCCCCGATCGATCAGAACAAAGGATACGCCCACATCCCGCTTATGAAGTCATAGATGGGGGAGCTTTAAGCTCCACCCAAGGTACCACATAACCTTTTTTATTATAAACTTGAAATTGCATCATATCCCATTGTAGTAGTACTAGCCAAATGACACTGTATGATATCAATTTCCCTGAAATGGATTAGGCCCGTTAAGTCAACACAACGTGATATGCAGATGTTATTTAAAAGTCAATGGTCACATTTATTTAGTCCAACAATACCATTTTAAGTAAAATACTGTAATCAAACAATGTAAAGACATGCGCACAAGTCACATGAATCAAATGCAAACTACAAATACTATATACCAATACAAACTGCACATTAAATTATGCATTAATAAGAATAAGGACAGGTGCTTAAAAGATTCTGACATCTTGATGTCTGCAGTGGCATGTGATTACACATTTAACTAACGCTACATTTATTTTGTGGATATAACACGTATTTTGATTGGATGAGCGCCAATGTCTGAATCACAACAAAATGCATGTATGTCATTGATTGGTTGCATTTGAAGGGCACAAAAGGCGAAATAATAATAATGTTGCATTATCGAACATTACGTTGTGTGTCATGGATACTTTTCGCTCCAAATCTCCCGACCACTATGTCGATCTAAGACAGCGAAACCAAGACAAGACCGAGGGATCCGAGACCAAGACAAGACCAAGACTAAAGACCGTCGAGACTGTGACAAGACCAAGACCACGTAAAAGTGGTCTCGAGACATCCAACTCTATCTATTAGTTAAGTTCTCCCCAAACGAGCTTAATGGGCTGAATGGCCTCCTCTCATTTGTAAATTTCTTGTTCTTAACCTGGTCTTTCTTTTTCACAAAACAACTCAAATCCTACACCTGAATAGCATTTGAAGAAAATCTCTTTTTGCCAAAACTGCCCACTGTGGCAGAAACCCTCTTCAGATACACTTAGTACATAAGAATGATGTCTTTTTTGTAGCCAGCACCAGAAAATAAGAAATTTTAAATCAGCCCTCTAGAGTGTGAAATTAGCATTCATCACTGGACTGAATCCATCTGTGCATGTGTCCAGGCAAGGAGTGACAGCTTTGCTTTTGAACTTAAAAAACTATTTAGTGCTAAAAGAATACATAAAAACAGAACATAAAAGGCTGCTTTTTGTCAAGATGTTCATTGAATACCATAATCCCGCTGCATATGGGCACTTGCTCATTATCTGCACTGTAATCTCAATAAGTTAAGCAACTTAAATAGAAAAAAACACCATGTTCATATTTACATAACAAAAATAACATTTCTTTGATCATTCTAATGGATTTTCATTCAAGATATGTCACTATTCTCTTATGAATATGGTAGCCTACTAAGAGCTTTACTGACATATGTACCTCCTGTAGACTGTTAGCTAACATAGCAGAAACATTAACAAAGAATAACAATAAATAATTATACAATAATGACTACACTGAAAAAATATGCTGAACAATAAATAATACTGAATGAAAAATAACACTGAAAAATTTAGCTAACTCGTTTGCATTAATTTTTTATTATCCGGTCAATCAGATGAATGCTTACATAATAATGTTTCAGAATCTTAAAAGAAAGCTGACAGTTTCTTGTTGAAGACTTAAAAAATGCTCTAATTCAGACCCAGAAATAAAATGATTGTTGTGCTTTATACCAGAGAGCAAACTGGCCACTTTTGTCTTTCATGTGGGGGAGCCACGTGAAAGGCATTTTTTTAAAAGAGACCATGAAATATTATCCTAGGAATTGATTGAGCAGAGGGTGAGTTACACTTGCTTGATGGCCAGACATTCCTATTCAGTGGTGCTATACTTAGTCCTCAGAACTCAGAGCATACGACTGACATATAGCACCAGGCCTCCTCTTCAACCCTGGATGTAGATCTTCCTCCTCGGCAGTAAAGCAGTGTCAGCAACTTCAGGACTAACCACAACTGAGGAAAATGCCATGACAGACCTCGAGAAAGACCACAGCATAAGAAACATTAAATGCATATGCAACTGAAAGTGTGTGATTCTTCCGGTTAGCAAATTATCCCACCCTCACTGAGGGCCACTGCATCTCACATAGGCCTGTCGCGATAGTCGATAAATCGATTAATCGCACGATAAAAAAAATGACCTCGATAATTTTTCCGGCCGCGATAATTTCATTTGCATACTTATTTGTTATCCGCGACTGAATGACAACTCTCGTTTCCTTAGCGTAGGAGAAGCGAACCCTCTTGTCAGTTGCATTGTCCTTTGTGTGGGGAGCAGAGCATGTGAGCGGAGCGGAGCGTGAGCGAGGAGCGGAGCGGGCGGAATTTGGTCAGAGCGCGGAGCGGGTTTTCTAATTAAGGCTGGAGCGGTCGCTTTGTCTCGCTCCAATTTCGCTCCGATACCGCTCACACTACAATTCTGAGGCGTGCCCAAATCTACCCAGAATTCATCTGTACAATTATCAAGACTGTTACACAAATTGGCCGAGATGGAATTCGCAAAGTATTTCACAAAGGAAACTGATAAATCATACAAGTGTACTATTCTTATCAAACGTATAGATGACAAGAATGTACAGCAAGAACAACAATGTGGTGAAACTGTTTCAGTGAGTAAAGATTCACTTTGGAATCACTTTTCTCAGAAACATGAGTGTGCTACGCGAACAAGCGGAAGCCAGAGCAAAACGCGTGCAAGTTTTATATGGTTGTAGCATATCAAGTCTATAAAGTAAATTAAAGTATAAAAACCTATAAAGTAAATATTGGTAATCAAATAAATTCGTTTTGTCATTCAAAGTAGGTCTAATAAGATTTTTTTTTAATTTCACGTAACGTAAAATTTTATTTTAGAGACGTGCTGCATCAACAGAAAAAAATTGAGGAATTTAAAACGTGTCTGTATATTC